ATTAGAATATATTATAATATGTTACACGACGGAGAAAAGATATTTTGTTTTTATAACAAGTTGTATACATGGTGGAGCGCCGCTGGAATCCGACAGTTGACAGCGGCGGTCGTACAATGCCGACCAATCACAGAGCGTCTGATGTCGCCTGGGGGGTCTGACAGTTGCGGCTGCTCAGTATGCATGCGCGAGTTTGGGCACTCTTAACTTGAACAGAGTATAGCTAATTATCGAAAATGGTGCATCCATAACACTGTTATAGTATTATTCATTATTATTATTATTATTATGTTTCAATGATTTAAACGATACGTATGTCTATATAATATGAGCGTATAATAGTGGGTAAAAAGCATGGACGGATTGGGCCATCGGGAAATCGGGAAATCGGGAAATTCCTGATGGGCCGCGTGCTAACTAGTTGACAGGGCCGCTGCATGCGCTACCAAACAACGGCTGTAACAGCTCCATTTCGCCAGCATGTACATATGCGAAATTTTGAATTTTTTTATATACATTATTTTGCGGACTAGATTTTGATTTTTGCGGACAATTAGTTTTTTAGCAAATAAAAAAAAACTGTTTACATGCTGGTGAAATGTTGCGAAAAATAAAAAATCAATTTTTTACTAGGTATACCATCATTTTGCGGATAATTTGCGTGATTTTGCGGACTAGGTTTCATTTTTTTCGGACTAGTTTTTTAACAAACCATAAAAAACTGTTAAAAAATTAAAAAAAACTACTTATTTCATTTTTTATTTTATAAATTGTTTTGCGGATAATTTGCGTGATTTCGTTGACGAATCAAATTTACTTAACAAAYATTTTAATATACCATATTWAATTTATTTTTATAAAATAACAGCACAATTTCTAATAATCTTTAWTAGTTTCTCTAGTGTATAAAAGTATTTGTACACCGCATTTTGTCAACTTTGATATGGGTATTGGTTTCTGTTTTTGTGAAGCAAGTKGTTTTTTAAATATGGTTTATTTGCGAAAATTCTAACCCTCAATAATTAAAAATTAGTCTGCAAAATTGAACAATTTATCCATAACATTAGAGGATACTAAAAAAATGTGGCATTGGGGATTTCAAAATTCAAAGTGCCAAGAATAACAAAAAATAATTAAAGAAAAATGGGAATTTTTACGCAAAATCAATTTTTGAAAAAATTAATTTTAGATATTGGTGTAACTCTAAAACAAATTACCTTAGAAACATGAAATTGTTACAGAATGTGTTAACTTTCATTTTCTACACATGATTAAATTTTCAAAATATTTCAAATCTTTTTAAGTTATTTATAGACATTTTAAATTTTCAATCTTTTTAGTTGTTTAAGAACTGGTAATGGGCATTATTTAGCAGTTGCACAAAGGTATGATGATTTTAAACAGAAACCAATACCCATATCAAAGTTGACAAAATGCGGTGTACAAATACTTTTATACACTAGAGAAACTATTAAAGATTATTAGAAATTGTGCTGTTATTTTATAAAAATAAATTWAATATGGTATATTAAAATRTTTGTTAAGTAAATTTGATTCGTCAACGAAATCACGCAAATTATCCGCAAAACAATTTTGAAATAAAAAATGAAATAGGTATTTTTTAATTTATTTAACAGTTTTTTTTATTTTATAAAAAACTAATTGTCCGCAAAAATCGAAATCTAGTCCGAAAAATCACGCAAATTATCCGCAAAATGATTATAAAATAAAAAATGAAATAAGTAGTTTTTTAAATTTTTT